GCACAAAATGAAACGTAACTAGAAGTAAGATACATTCATGAAATGTTAAAGTTAGTTTACATATCGGAGTATTATGGATAGGAGAGATTGATGAAAGAATATGGTTAGGTTATAGGTAGAAAGGGATAAGTTTGTGATAGATTGATAGAACGATAGCGTTAGGATACACTCTTGTGATGATATGACTAAGGTACCGTAACGATATGACTATGATAGGTATAAGAATGTTAAGACTATGATAAGTTAGGGAACGATATGACCACGAAGTGTTTACGATATGACATGTTTATGATACTATTGGGTTTTATGTCCTAAAACGCAGAGTTGGTAAACAAAAATATATTCTATTTTCAATAAAGTTATTATTGATGTTTATTAAGTAAAGATTGTTATTGAATAAAGTGAATTTTGCGATCATTAATCTAAATCCAATAAACTAAGAATACTCTGACTATAGTATGATTACTTGAACAATATGTAGAGACATAATAGTGGATCAAGTTCAAGTATATAGTCAAAAGGATCTATAGTACAAGTACCTTATCCTGGGACACTATGAATGCGACCCACTTTTGTATATGATATAAACAATGTGATCACTAAATTGTACATGTAGAGACATGTGAGTGGGGGCGCCCTATGCAATGAGTATTGCATAAGATCGAACCATGAAGAAAATCACTCTCACTTTATAATGTCGTTTACTGTTGAGACTGGTTTTTCACTCGATGACCTAGGTAACTCGACCTTAATCCTGAGCTAACTATGAACTCCTGTTTATTCAGAATTATCCTTAGATTTGCATGGGTGAGAGTGGCCCGAGTTCGCCAAGTCAATAAGTCTCTCATTTCAAGGGTAAGACTGGGTGAATAGCTGAGAACATAGGGTGCAAGATAGAATTCACTCCTACTTGCTTTTAGGGATAGTAGAGAGGTTGTTCCCTTAAGTACTGACTCCAGGTCAAGGGGTCTCACCCTCTCATTGATCTGAGAGGGATTCGGTTTGGTGGTTGGACCACAAACCAATCGTTCGTTAGAGGATCAGTGGGAGTTAAGAAACAAGAAGTAACTTTAGGTGTAAAAATGATAAATTGACCCAACTCTAGTTACGAACAACCTGTGAATGATCAACTTACTAATCATAGTTATATCAAATGGACAGAAATATTTTATAGTGAGGGGAGTGCAACTACTAGGGTACAGTGGAGTGTTCTAGTAGTTAAAGAATGTTGGTTAAAAGGTTAATAAGTTTAGCATGTTAATCTCGGATATTTGGAGCCCATGATCTGTAGGTCCATTAGGTCCCTCTGCTAGCTCATACCGAACTAAACCTTAGAATAGTGTGACGAGTGAGTTTGAAGTGTTCGAACTTAAATTAAGGAATATGGACTAAATATATACAATATATTTAACCGCATTTTGATTTAATTACGAATTAAACAAAATGAGAGAATTAGAGATATTTAAATAAGATTTAAATATTTTAATTAGAATAGGGATTCATAATCCATATGTGCCGGAATTGATTGAGATTGACATTTAAATTAATGTTAAATATTAATTAAATTTATTATTTTGATTTGAAATTAATTATTTAAATGAATGGTTGAATTAAAAAAGAAAAAGCCAAAATGTTGACTTCCCTTAATGGAAAAATCTATGCTTGAGTTAGTGGAATATTGAGTGTCCATAGTTTAACCAAACGGGCATGATTGCCACATAATCCCACACATTTGAGTGGAATTTTGAGTGTTAAAATTTAGTTAATTCAAACTTGTATACTTGACTTAATCCCACAAATTTCAGTGGAATTTTGAGCTTAAAAATTTGGTAATCTCAAATTTGAATGAACGTGCAAATATCACTCTATAAATAGAGTGATCAAGGTACATGTATTTTCTTCCTGACAAATTTTGAGAAAATCTCTCAAAACTCTCTCTTTTACCCGTACTAAATTCCTATCGAGTTTAGTCACTCACCTGATTTCACAATCTCATTCTAAGGCTAGAGAATAGTAGAGAAGACACTGGAGGTGGTTCGAAACTGGTTCGTGAGGAAAAAGGAATTTGAACTACAAAAGGTTAGTATTCAAACTCATCGAGTTTTAATGCTTTTGAACATGCTAGCTAATTTATTATAACTGATGTACTTGGAGTGCCTAAGATCCAAATTGCTTTCGCACGTGTTATAGTAACACCATCAGATACGGTATATTGTGATGTGATATGTTATGTTTAGATTGTTTTGTGTGGCCATTGAGGTAATTGTTGTATAAATTGCACGTTATGAAATATGTTAAAAGCATAGAGGGTTATGTTATGTTTTCTAAATTGTATATATACAGCATGTCATGAATGACATGATATCACGATAAATGAAATGAAATATAACTCCGTTAGCATTATGCATGATATGATAACTAAAAAATGAGAAAAGATATGATATGAATGTAAAACGATAGCGGGGTTATATTTAATAATGTTGAAAATGGAAAAATATTAGGACCTCATGCATTATGTGTGCTCATGCATTGAGGGATACCCCTATTTCATCACGATGGGCAGGGATACGATCATTATGTTTTACAAAATGATGCCGGTAGGGGTACGATCATTATGTTTTACATAATGCTGCCGGTAGGGGTACGATCATTTTGTTTTACATAACGTTGTCATGGCGGTTACTAGTTCTAACAGGTGTCTAGCCTAAGGAGCTCCTAGAGTATGCTCGCCCGACAAGGAAAGTGGCCCAGCGGTGTGCGAACTAACTGGTGAGTCCATACTCGCACGTATGGGTTGTGTGTAGAGTATATGCTACACATCCAAGTTACTCTTTAGGACAGTACCGTAGGAAAATAGATTGAAATGATAGGTCCCGTCATTGCATTCACATGTTCTCGCATTTAACCCTAATAGTGGGGTCACTTACTGAGTATTTCTTTAAATACTCAAGCCATGTGCTACTACATTTTTCAGGTTAAGGCAAGACATTCCTGTACGGCTGATGACGGCATCGCAACTCAAGACCATGACACATGCATAGGGTAGTCGTATTATTTTCTTAGACTTAGGCTAGAATGAGATGTTTTTTTTGTTTTTTTATTTAAACGTTTATTTATTTTATTTAGTCTTTTATTGTGTCATTTTTAAAAGTGTCTTCAAACGCGTAAGTTCATGGCTGTGTTTTAAGCTGAAGGCTATGTTTTATAAAAGTTTAAATGAAGTATTTCCACATTCATGTTTATGACATGTATAGAGTAGCGACCTTATAGAAAATTTCGAGTCGTTACAATACTAAAAAAAATAATAATAATTAGTATTCAAGAAAAAAATAGTTTAGATCATGACTTGAATAACATCAATGCTCGATTGGATGACTTGTCTTATATATGATGACACATGGACAGTGACTCTTACACGTGTCATGTGTTTTGTTATAATGATGTAATATGTTATGATCAGATGAGATTAATGACGATATGATACATCAGGTATATATGGTAGTCATCACATAACTTTACATGGCAAGATATAAAATTACATCCATAGTGTAATGAATATGACATACATATATAGTATAACATCATATATCAATACATAGAGCACGTAAGCATAACATAAAATAATATGGTACATGCAGGGGCCATAAGACATGCACCATCATACATCATTCAATTATCTAACTTCAATAGTAAGATCACCCTACTTGGTTGGCCTTGGCCGTTACCAAATAATCAGTAGCTTCTCCGAAAACTATACTTCAATGTTTAATTTCAGCTATGTCAATCCATATCACATAGTTCAGTACATATTCATATCTTATTCTAGCTAAACATAATGATTATTCTAATATTAATTCTAAAACTATCTAAAATTGAGTAAACGAGAGTTTTACTAACCTCAATTACCCATAGTAAGGTTAAAATGGCTTCGGGTCAAAAACTTAAGAAATGGTATAGATTTGTATACTGAGTTGTATAAGTCGACAAGTCAAGTCAAGTCGCCAAGCTGTCAATTCGAGCCAAAATTGAGCCATCAAGATGAGTCGAAGCAAGTAGAGAAGCCGAGCCAAACGAGTCCTCACAGGCTGGGTAGGTCACGCGTCGGGCACGTGCTAAGCCAAGGGTGAGGCACAAATCGCCACTCGAGTCGACACGCAGATCAGGCTTCTATATTCAACCTGGGCTTAGGTCGCGAGCGATGGGCTATTGGCCCGTGCACTTCTAGGACATGAATGCCGCAATGGCACAGACTACCCAAATGAGAAATCGAAAACTGAAATCCGACTAGACTGCTCGTCTTCCTCGTCCGACAGGTATCGAGAACAAAAGCTTCAGTTTTCCTTCGTCTCCGGCGATCCATTACCCACGGCAACCACAATACTTCCTATGATGTACTATATCCACAACCACATCGAGGTTGCCTTAGAGAGGAGAGGATTCACATTGTCGATGCTAGATCCGCCGTGAGTCTTCTCTTTCTCTCTCTGTTTCTCTTCATCTCTCTCGGCTGTATGTGCAAGTTGCAGAGACCAAGAAAATTGGAGTTTTAAAAGGGTGGTGGGCGGTTGTCCTCGCGGGTTTGAATTTTTGAAATGCAAACTTCATGTCGAGTGGGATATAATATATTAGCCTTGAGTTCTAATTTCACTTTCAGGTGAGTTTAGATACATAATACGAGTATTATACATAATTCACGCACATCCACATGAGCTACTAAATGGATATGTGCAAATTTGTGCACTTTTACGCAACGAATAGGTCGAGTTTCGACCTCTAATTGGGCCCTCTTATTCTTTAATGTGTGCACTTTGTGCACTTTTACTATCCACTTTTCTTTAATGTGGCTATACAAAAACTGTTAAAACAAAACAGGTGAAAGGGGAAACCCGCTCCTCACATAAACAAAAACTTCAATTCAATGGAATCCAGTATTCATCCATCAACCAGGAAAAATTAAACAAAAAAGCCTCTCCTAGTCGTCTAGTGACTCTCCATCAAACAACACAAAATTTGAGTTCATTCTAGGCGGTTAATAACAGCGATCGATTTTGTTCGACCGTTTCTAATCTGCAGCTTCTGATGTGGGCGTTGCTCATGGTGTCTCCTCGAAGCTGCGGTCTCTTCCTTTTGGTAAAAGTTAGAGAAGAAATGGTTTTGGCAGCCATCACCTTTTTCATCAGAACCTTCCACTTAGCATCGTCTTTTCTATTCTCTTGCTGCATTTTTTGTTTGAACTGCCTGTCAAACCCAAAGGGTACGGTTCTAAATTTAGAAATTTTGGTCTTATCATTCAAAGCTTAATCATTGGTGTCTCCACTCCAACAACCACATCAATTTTCATTTCTCAACCATCCATCATTGACTAAAACACGCCAAATTGACAGGGAATTTTGATTATTCGGCTTTTCTAAAGCCACCCCCCAAGTCTTTTTTGAAAAGAGGCGTAAACTCTTTACACGCCCACCGTCAACAATCATATTTAATTGAATAAAGAAACCATATGGAAGGCGTGCTTTTGTTTTGATCAATTCCTTGTTGAAGATGGTTGGGAGAGAGTCTCCTATTCGGAAATGATCGTGAATTTATAAATAAGGAATATAGGAGGCCTTTTGGAGAAGCCCAAAACAAAACCACAAGAGTTTATGTTCAAAGTAGCGTGGTATCAGAGTCATGCCCTTAATTTAGTTATGTCAAGGGAATCCTCAAATATCGAATAAAGAAGTTGTGAGCCTCTAAGATGTAGTCCTTTGTTTGAGGACTCTAGAGAAGGAGTCAAACCTCGATTAAAGGGATGTTAGCAAATATCGAATAAAGAAGTTGTGAGCCTCTAAGATGTAGTCCTTTGTTTGAGGACTCTAGAGAAGGAGTCAAACCTCGATTAAAGGGAGGTTATCAAATATCGAATAAAGAAGTTGTGAGCCTCTAAGATGTAGTCCTTTGTTTGAGGACTCTAGAGAAGGAGTCAAACCTCGATTAAAGGGATATCAGAGTCATGCCCTTAATTTAGTTATGTCAAGGGAATCCTCAAATATCGAATAAAGAAGTTGTGAGCCTCTAAGATGTAGTCCTTTGTTTGAGGACTCTAGAGAAGGAGTCAAACCTCGATTAAAGGGAGGTTATCAAATATCGAATAAAGAAGTTGTGAGCCTCTAAGATGTAGTCCTTTGTTTGAGGACTCTAGAGAAGGAGTCAAACCTCGATTAAAGGGATATCAGAGTCATGCCCTTAATTTAGTTATGTCAAGGGAATCCTCAAATATCGAATAAAGAAGTTGTGTATCAGAGTCATGCCCTTAATTTAGTTATGTCAAGGGAATCCTCAAATATCGAATAAAGAAGTTGTGAGCCTGAGTCATGCCCTTAATTTAGTTATGTCAAGGGAATCCTCAAATATCGAATAAAGAAGTTGTGAGCCTCTAAGATGTAGTCCTTTGTTTGAGGACTCTAGAGAAGGAGTCAAACCTCGATTAAAGGGATTTGAGGACTCTAGAGAAGGAGTCAAACCTCGATTAAAGGGAGGTTATTTGATGGTTCTATAGGCCTCGGGAGGCTCTATAGCATACTTTGTTCGAGGAGAGAATGGTTGGGAGGGAGCCCCACATTTAACTAATTTAGGGAATAATCATGAATTTATAAGTAAAGAATAGATAGACAATATCATACTATTACGGAGATTCGTAATTCCTAATTCCTAATTCCTAATGTTACTTTAATGAATGAGATGAATGGTCAATTCCTTTACCCAAGCAACTCAATTACGGTTGAACTTAAAATCAAGGTTTGGTAAAGATTAGCGAGTGCTAAGGCGAATAAAAGAGGGGTAACTAGAATTTACCTGCAGAGAGGGACTTTGCAAGCATCGGATTGGTTGCAGATGGAAGCATGCAAGCGTAGAAGCTGCCACATTTGTTTGCACCGCCAGCAGCCTCCTTCATGGGCTCTGTCCTTGCACGTCGCAAAGTGCTTAATCAGAAGCTGCACACCACGACACGTTGAGAATTTGGAACAGGGCTTCTTTGTGGGTTCAGCGTCGTGTGGACCAACGTCTGTGCATCCTTCTTTACAGATGTGCTCCACGCACTCTATTGCGTCGCTTAGCTGAAGATACATCCTCTTCTCCTTCCTCTGCCTTCTGCACCTCTTTTTCCTCTATTCAGATACAAAGAATAATAACCAAAATTAACAATTGAATTCCATTGATGTTTTGTCAACGCATGAACAATAAAACAAACGAAAATGGAATCAGTGGCATAAATAATTGAATACCAATTCGGATTCGTCAATGAATTGAAGAATTTGAAGCTCCAGCCAAGAGTCATGCTCTTGCAGGAATTTCCAGCCCTCCGATTTCTCGACGGCCTTAAAGTGTCTCGACACCATTTTCATGCAGCTAAGCGAGAGATCTGGTGCATCGCACAGTCTTGCGAGTTGGAGTATATCTATAACACTATCGATCGTCAATTTTCGAGCCAAGTACTTGCTGCATCGCTGCTTTAAATGTGGAACGAGGTAGACATGCGATAACGCCAATAGATGAATTCCATATTCCCTCAGACATTCCTCAGAGCACCTGATGGCAAACCGACGAGTTTAGACTGACTGAACCGACTTCCAAAATAAAATTGACTGATTCTAATTGCTATTTGGTAAAGAAATTGCATACTGACCTAGATGTGAAGAGGAATTGAACAAACGAAACGACTGCCTCGCTCGGAACACCGAGAATCCGAATCAGTTTCTCGGAGCTTCGATGCTTCCGCGATTCGTCGATGATGTTTTCCAGTACAGATGAAACCGATGCCTAAAATCAAAATCAATTCGATAGACAAAAAAAAATTAACAACAACAAAATCAGATCCTCTAATCCAACGCAAAATCAATCAAATCGCAGGCTATTAAATGAAAGAAATAAAGTTGTGAACCCTGATCCATCAGGTGTGATTGCAATCAACCGACATTTAAGGCAAAATAAAAAAAGAAGAGAAATCCAATGGAGTACCAGAATGGTAGAATAAGCCGGAATCCGAAGTCCACTTGAGGTAACAATATGGATATCCGGCTCCGGCAGCTCCTGGAACTGAGAACTCCGATCCTTGACGGAAGCGGCGGGAGAATGAGGGTGAACTTCGTAAGGAAGATGAAGGGCTTCCATGAGCAAGATCAATTAAGAGAGCGATAGAGAAAGAGAAGGAGAAAATAGATGGAGGTGGGTTTGTGCATCAGAACATCGGGATATATATAGACGGCGATGTAAAGGGAAATTTGAAGTGGAGCCCACTGAAACGGAGACGCGCTTTTTAGATTCGCGCAAAGCAAGTCCCAACCCAACTAATCTCGACGTGCTCCTTTATTTCGATACCAACTATAAAAACATCCTTTTTTTTCATTTATCTCTAAATTAATAAAAATATAATATAAAGCTAATTAAAATTTAAAAATTGGAATTATAAGTTTATGATTATGATTTTTTTTTTTTTTGGTAAAGTTTTAATAATTATTAATTTGGATTATTTCAATTTAGCTTTTAAGTTTTTTTTTTTTTTAAAGTACTTTTATAAAGAATGTTTATTCTCCTCCCCAACTAACGTAGGATCTCTAAAAAATTGTACATGACCCAAATAGAGCTAGTACATAGCGAGAGTGACCGTATATGTATATGCATATCGTATCATGTACATGATCGTGATGGTTAGGGTTTAAATTTTTCAAGTAAGTAAATTTGTAACAGTTCAAGCCCACCGTTAGCAAATATTGTTCTTTTTAGGCTTTGTCTTTCCAACATCCCCTCAAGATTTTTAAAACACGTCCGCTACGGAGAGATTTTCACACCCTTATAAAGAATATTTTGTTCTCCTCCCCAACTGATGTAGGATCTCACAAAAATTGAGCAAAAAGCATGTGTGATTAGCCAATTAACGTAGTTGTGTACTCGTAAGCTGCTGAAACGGACGTTGAATAAAGTTAAAATTAAATACACTTAAAAAGTGAAAAGTTCCAAGTATAATCCCTATTATATACAAAAGTAATCAATATTAAATAAATAAAAAAGCAATAATAATAATAAAAGTTGGGTTGACTTCTTCAACTCATACACAATTGGATGCCATGGAAAAAGGTTAAATCCACGTAGGCCCGACCTTTTTGGAACATAAGCAAATATCTTATACAAAAAGGGCGTTCTTTTTTATCCTACGTGGAAAGGATAAACCAACTCAAGTGGAAAGGAAAAGGCCATGTATGCTAAAATGACCTTTGGGATTCAGAAGAAGCAATTAATTTCCTTCCTACGTGGACCTTTTTCCAACTCAGCCGATCTCATCCACTTTGTTTCCATCTCAACCATACATAACCTTGCCACGTAGCGTCCCAGTTGTCAATTCGGAGGATGTCATGGACAAAAACATTGTTTATTTTCCAGTTGCAAGGAAATAAAAAAATGGATTTTATGGTTTGGGATTGTGATGATGAATTCCGACATAGTGTTGAATACTAAAATAAGATTAAATATATAAAAAAATATGCAACATGTGATTATTATTTATTTTGTTGCCTTTGGGTTTTGCCCCTTCAATTAAATATATATATTTTGAAAGAAAAGAAACAATAATAATTTATTTGCTAATTAACCAATATGCTAAATACCATTTTTTTTTTTTTTGAGTTATTCCACCTATGTAGGGTTAGTTTGGATGCAATTTCTGGTCGACTCATGTCCATCCCATTCAAGACTCAGTTCAGCTTCTTTGTTGCCACATCGCACTCTGATATCATTTGTAACGGCTCAAGCCCACCGCTAGGAGACATTGTCCTCTTTGGACTTTTCCTTTCACGATTCCTCTCAAGGTTTTTAAAACGCGTCTGGTAGGGAGAGATTTTCACTCTCTTATAAAGGGTGTTTCGTTCTCTTCCACAACCAATGTGAGATCTCATAATTCACTCCCTTTCGAGGTCCAGCGTCCTCGCTAGCACTCGTTCCTTTATCCCATCGACATGGGATCTCACCAAATAAATGTAAGGATTCAACTAAAAATCAAACTAAAAATTAATAATCTTTAGTATCTCACATTTAAATTAATAATCAAACTAAAAATGTAAAATATGAATTTAAAACGGCCTCAATTACCTTAACCGGGGCTGAAAACAGGTTTGGAAGGGTCGGAATGGTAGAAACCGGGCTAAAAATGGCAAGCCAAGGAGCTGCCGGAAAAGCAGCCGAGAGCGGCTGGAAAAGTTGCCGGGAAGACGCCGAAGTCACCGCCAAGCCGAGCCCAGCCGAGGGGCTGCTCGTGCTGCTGGTTGCCACATGGCGGCAGCAGGGCGACCCACGTCGCGCGACGCTTCGGGTCGAGGCGCGGGTCGAAGACCAGTTCTGGTTGGCTCGCGGGTCGTCGGCTGCAGGTGAGTTTAGACTGTTGACTACTGGGCTCGATTAGTTTTGGGCCGAGAAAACTTGAGTTTTCGGGTTATTGGGCCTCGGGTTATAGATAGATCCGAACCGGATCCATCGGATCTCTTCTTCCTTACCCGACTTCTGCTCTATTTTCCGGCGAATGTTTCTCTCTCCTTCCGGCGACATTTCCGACGTTGTTTTCCGTCCTTTTTCTTCCTATTCCTCTCTGTTTTCTTCTCCTCCTCTCTCCCACGAAGTTTCGTGGTTGTTAGACGTCGGTGGAGGTTGATCGAGGATTCACAAAAAATCAATTTTTGGGTTTACCTTCTCCGACGGCGATGTCGACGATTACGCGACATGAGCTCGCTCTGTGTTGGTGTATATTATGCCGGAGGGGTCTTTTCGGTTTGGTTTTCTTGGTAGAAAGATCAAATACGACAGTTTAGGGTCGTGGGTCTGTTGTCGGATTCTCATCGAAAACTTCGAGAACTATCTCTCCCTCATATTTTCCTTCTTTTCTTCGTTGCAAGTGGTCTGAGGTTGAATGGCAGGAGGGAGCCGGTGGGAGACGTTCAGCTAGCAATCCTCGAGGTGCGGGGTCGTGTGAAGTTCGAAAATTCTGGCGGTTGCCGGAATTTTAACGACTTCACCGACAACTTTTGACAAATTATTTTTTCTTCTAAAATACCTATAGTTATATCATACATCGTCATATACCTATCGTTATATCATACATCGTCATATACGAGTACATCATATGATACCGTTCATACATCACCATAACTCATACCTCATAAATTATGACTTGGTCTTATAGCAAGGCAACTTAGTTGATTGGCGTGAACCAAATTTCTATCTAATTCCAAATTTGGTTGCTTTTATCCTTCTTAATTATTCTCACTTATATCGAGCTACTTTCAACTCTTTTGAATATAAATTTAATTGACTCGGTTTTATCGAATCCAATGTCATGTTTTGATTGTTTCTCCTGTGTGTTTGGAATTAAAACTTAAATTAAAAAAAATAATTTTCTGTTATTCTTTTCTTTTTTTTGTTTTTGTTTTTTTTTTGTGGGGGAATTAAGGATGGTTTGAAAAGATTGGTTGAGATGTATAGAGATGGTAACTGTTTTCTCTCTCTTAATTAATTAAGAGATTTTCCTTTATTTATCGTTTTATTAATTATTTTTAACTTTTGTTACAGGAAAGTGTCTTTACTCTTGGAATAACCCGATTAGGATATCTTAAGTTCTCGTCTTTGTTAAGTCTTAAAGCATACTAAAGAAAAATTCTTAACAAGTACACTCTAATCTATATGAGTCATAAACGTTTATTTGCATGCATAAATCTTTCATAAACGTTGTCACTTGTTATTCATAAAAACCTCGATTTCTTATAAAGGGTCTTTAGGGGTAGTTTTGTCCTTTTTCTTAGAGTTCATACCTCAAACATGTTCTAATTCCTCGTGAGATTCTAGCATACTTACCCTTACGGTAAAAATGAGTCCCATAAAAAGTTTTTTTTAACACTTGGGATCCTTTAGAATCTTGTAAACATTTTAGAATTCTTACAGAGGTATGTTGGTCATTTACCATCTCAATTCTTAGTTTAAATCCTCAACCTATTCCAATGGGCTTGTAACTTTGTATAATCCCTTTAAACCACGACATAAGAAGGTTCCTCATCAAATTTCATGTCATTTAGAGCTCACTTTAGTCATAAACTAGTGGTACATAATTATAGGGGCATTTTAGTCATTTTACACCTACACTTAGTTAGCCCGTTATCATAACCTAATGGTCACCAAATTTCATACCTAACATTATCATGTCATATTGAGCATTCTCCTAAAATTTCATGAGTAACATAATTCATTTAGTAGATTTGTGGCTCAGTCGCTTCATTGGAATCAATATTCACGTAGACACAAAAACATATATTTTCTATGAGCATTCTCCTATGGAGGATTTTTCTTCCCGACCAACCATATATTTTTTATTCAAAATTTTCATTTTTTTATTTACATCGAGCGTTTTTTTCCTATATTTTAAAATCATTTATAGCTTTAAAAAATATTTTAGTCTAAATAAAAAACCACTTTTGTAAGTATTATTATTTTTATAATCTATTGTTTAACAAGGACATTATACTTTTAAACGTGGGTAATTAATGAACAAATATCAAAATAATTAAATACATTTAAAAAAAAAGTTATGTTACTTTATTTTTTTCATTCTTTTAAAGTAACTTTGACATGTATGCACCCATAATATTTGTTGTAAATTTAACCTATTAGTGTGGATCGTGTAAAGGGAAGTACTACATATCTAATTTGTTTGAGACTGGAGGCCACCCATGATGATTTTAAATGATAAATCTTTAGATCATGGTTGCATGGGTTTGCATTCGCTAACCCCAATAATGGAATCACCTAAGCCATGTGCTACTTCTTTTTAGGTAAAGATAAGATGTTCCTGTACGGCTGACGACGGCATCGCAATTTGAGACCATGACACATGCATAGGGTAGTTGCATTTATTTTCTTAGGTTTAGGCTAAAATACGATATTTTTATTTTAAAGATTTACTTATTTTCTTTAGTTTTTTGTCGTGTCATTTTAGAGGTGTTTTCAAAATACATAAGTCCATTAGTGTGTTTTAAGAGAAGGTATTATGATGAAGTTTTTGAATGTTTAATTTCGCATAGATGATGATGACGGTAACAACTCTAGGTAAGTGAAAATTTAAGGTCGTTACATCAATAGAGAAAGTTGTTATTAATTAATTTATTTTATTAAATAACCAATTAAAATTTAA